TAGTGGCCGGGGAATAGGGGTAAAAAGGACAATTGTTTTTCACTGCATTCCAATTTATAGCTTTTTGAATTTTGTACTATTCCAGAAATTTTAACTAATGCAAAGGCAAAAAAACAAAAATAAAACAAAACAAAAAGTCTTCAGCCCTGCAGAATCAGATTCTCTGGGGGAGGAGTCGGGGGCTCTGCGATTTTGATAAGCATTATGTGTGATTCTTGTGCACCTAGAAGCTAGAGAACCCCTGACAGAGAGCATCATTATTAAAGCAAACTTATCGAAAGAATAATAGCAACAATGATGTCAGCAGTAATGAATACTTATTTTAAAAGATAAAGCCTAACACACCACTGCCAAAATCTTGCACAAGTGTTCCTAAAAACAATTCTTTGGCACAACCACCATGTGACTGAATGATTTTACATCACAACGAAGTAGTCCTTGTTCTCTCTGGTGTTCAGTTTTAATCACTGTTAATAATTTCACCAGCTTTTTAAACTTTGTAAAATGCTTTTGAGCTAAGTAAGAGCATAACAAGCCTTATTTGAAGTTACATGAAAAAGAGAGAAGTGATTTGCTCAGAGACAGCACAACATCTCCAAACTCAATACTTCCCAGCTAACTACACATGACTTTATGTATTCGTAAGAAACCTATCAATCAAAGAAATGTATACTTTGAGATTCCCTCAGTCTCAGCATACCTGTGTTGCAAATCACAACTGTGTGTTTCTGAGATGCTAGAGGAGAAAGGACATGATCTCAAGTCTCAGACAGTGCTGCCTCCCCTCTGTTTTTCAATTTCTTTCCCTTTCAATCAAGATGAAAAGACAATACGGTGGCGTGGTTAAGAGCATGTGCTCTGGAGCCAGACTACCACTGTGTAACACTGGACAAGTTACTAACTTCTCTGTGCCTCTGCAGAGACATCTGTAAAATGGGACAGCAACACCTCACTTACCGTGGTATGAGGATTAGATCCATCGATACATGTGCAGCACTTCGTATAGAAACTGGCACATATAAGCAATAATATTTGCTATTATTATTTCAGACCCATCTTGGAGTGTTAATGGAATAGAATCCACAAAAATAAGGGTAAGAGCTAGGGAAGGGGTGGAGAGACGGGGAGGAAAACTCTGTAATGGCTAAAGAGAAGACACAGAAGGCAAACAACAATGAAAAGTTGGTTGTTTCCAAGAAATAAAAAACCAACTACAAGATATTGAAGCAATGGGCCAAGCAAAGCAAAGCTGTTTTTTCCTTGTTCTGTGGACTGCTGGGCTGCCAGACGTTTCCATTTTCCGGTCTGGGTACGTATCACTGTATAAGTTTTCTATTGGGGGGTTGGGTTAGGGGGTGGCAGCACCTCTTACCAAGTCCGTGTTCATAAATATGACCAGGACGCTCACCCTCTGTGGCCTAAGGCAACAGGGGGACTTGGCCTCCATAGATCCACGCCTGGGGAGTTGAGGGAACCAGGAGAAAGCTAGGAGATTCCAATCCCACCAGCTTCCCTAGTCATGGAGCAGCCTGCGGACTCGGGGACTCAGACCAGACCAGACCCACCATCGCCTCATTGCCCATAATCTGCATATGGGCCGATGGGCAGCAAACACAGATGGAAGGGACCTTCAGAACACACCGCCTGATTTCTCTATTATATGTTCGCTGAGGCCCAGAGAAAAGTGACTTGCTCAAAAGCTAAGGGATATCTAGATAATTATCTTACCACAGGGGACCACTTAGGACCAAAATATAAGCGCTTCTATTAATTAAACATTAGTTCATCTTTCATTGCTATAGTTTAGCCAGTTTTAAATGTTTGTTCTTTTTTTAAAAAAGCCACAAAGAGAATGAGTATCTTTTTTAACAAAAACAGTGATATTGACTGTGGAATGGACATGTCCCTGTGACAGCTGAGCAGGGAGAACAGTGAGGACCAGCTGTCCTGCTCGTTCTCCAGTGCAGATTTGGGACCTGCCTTAGTGGACTTGGTGGGGGCGTGATCGCTCACTCTGCCGTGAGTCTCAGAGGTCGACGTGCACCTGCTACAGCCTGACTCTCCTTTAGAAGCTATTTGGAACTATCGGCCAGAATTTAACAACCCAAAGATCCTATGAACTTAGGCTTTCAGCCTATATCTTATAGTTGAAACTGAAGACACCGTATGATTCCTCTCCTCTACAGATCCTACAAAGAGCTAGCACCTTAACCCCAACCTTGTCCCCGCCTCCAAAACCCATAGCAGACGGGCCTGCGTTAGCTGGAGCTAATGGTTCAGCCACACAGAATCCATCTCGAGGCCCAGGTGGCCAGAGCTGCACAGAATCTTTACCCACAGACCCTGTTTTCAAAGATTTGATCTAGCAAATTTATTAATAGTTCTCATATAAAATAACCAACTCATATCTGACTGCCCTTTAAAGCTTCCAAACAGGAGATTCCCAAACACATCTTAATTAGCTAGGGCTGCCTTATTCTACGTCCCCCTTCCAGCCTCCCACACACTTAGCATTTCCTCCTCAGAGTCACAGGGATCTGAAGACACCAAGGACAATGCCCAGGCAAGGAGAGGCCTTAACGCACCGAAGGCACCACGCTGCCTCGAAATGAAAGCAGCCTGGAATCTGGCGGAGTCACGAGGACCTGCTGTATTGCCCTTCCAACAGCTAACCTATCTATAATCTGAAATTACATCGATTTTCCAAGGACTGGGGAAAACATTGCCCATGAGCAAGAAGTTAATTTACTTGCAGGGGGAAATGAATGGCTCCCTTTGCTTTCCTGACCCTCCCATAGGCACCAGGAAACAACACAAAGTGACCCTGAAGAGAAACCCCAGACAGAGCTTTCGGTTATGTAAGATGGCCTAACATCAGCCAAGAGGGACAGAGGACATAAATTCTGAAACCCTCGGTAATGGGTCTGAGCATCTCTAAGCCAGAGGTTCTCAACCTGTGGGTCGCGACCCCTTTGGCAGTTGAACGACCCTTTCACAGGGGTCGCCTAAGACCATCCTGCATATCAGATATGTACATTACGATTCATAACAGTAGCAACATTACAGTTATGAAGTAGCAATGAAAATAATTTTATGGTTGGGTCACAACATGAGGAACTGTATTTAAAGGGCCAGAAGGTTGAGAACCACTGCTCTAAGCTAAGGTGCATCTATGTCAATGAAATTCTTGAGAAATAACTTGTGTTTTGTTTTGTTTTTTTAATCCTCACCTGAGGATATGTTTTCATTGATTTGAGGGGGAGAGGGAGAGAAACATCCACGTGAGAAACAAAGATCGGTTGCTTCCCACACCAACTGGGATCAAATCTTCAACCTAGGCATGTGGCCTGACCTGGAACTAAACCAAAGACCCTTCGGTGCACGGGGCTACACTCCAGCCAACTTAGCCACGCTGACCAATGCAAGAAATGACTTTTCTTTGATTATCATACTCTGGGGTAGGGGTGCTGATTGTATGTTTGGAAGAAATGATCAAACTTCCACTGTGCACAATCACGGATGAGAAAGCGACCATTGAAAAAGCCCAGATCAGTGGAGCTCAGTGTTAAAACAGTCCCCTCCTTTCATTCCATGAAAGCCATACTTCCTTCCCCTTTGTGTTCTGAAGAGGAGCTTCAGCAACCGAATGGCACTCTAGGATTGGAAGCAGCAACATTTGGGAGCATACCCATAAAAAAGGATTTGGAAGCCTCAATAAGAAAAATTCATTTTCCAATCAAAACATATTAACTCAACAACTACCAACCCACCAGAAAGGACTCAAAGTAATGAAAACCATAAGAGGAATGAGGGAGAAAAAAACGAGGGATAATAACTTTCTTTGCCGTCAGACCAGCCCTGTCCTGTTAAACAATCAGCTGAACTCACACTGGTATCTCTCAAGCATCCTCCCCATCCATCTCTGCCACCCCCTGGGCAGGGGAATCCCTTGCATCACTCTCCTCAGCGTTGTGGAAGAAATGCAGGTGAGCCCGGGATGTCTTAGTCCCTGTGATTCTGCAAAGGCCTAAGACATTCCAAACACCCATTTGGTAAGAGCTCCTGCCACCCTTTTTCAGTCATGTTCACACTCAGTGCTTACTGTGCACCAAGCCCTGCACGAGGCACTTTATATGGACGCTCTCCTTTGAGTTAGAAGTTGTATGTTACTGTCATCATTTTACAGTTGAGGAAAATGAGTTGGATAACTTGCCCAAGGCCACAGAGCTCATGCATGCAGAGCAGGGCTTGAAGCCTAGTGATCTGACTCCAAATCCAGCACTCTATGCATTGTTCTAGCCCACCCTATGGTTTTAGGGTGCATGCAGGCTTCAGTGACTTCCCCAGACACACCTACCCCAGCCCTATGTCTGACTTCCAACACCACCCACCACAGAGGAAGACTCCCCTTCTCTTGAATCTAACTGGACCCCATAGAATGGCTGTAATCAGTGCATGAAAAGTAAGTGGCCCACACCTTGGAGCCAAGATGAAATTGCACCATGTTGTGTTGTGAAACAGCTTCTTGACTTCCTGAAATCCACCCAACAGTGAAGGAAAAGTAGAGATAGTTCAGATCATTCTATACCTTCTGGTGAGTGGAAGGACTTCAACCTCAGATGAGCTCTGAGACTTAGTGGCACTTTGCAAAAGGGAGGTTCCAGAGAGGAGACCGTTTCTGGACTATAAAGTATTTCGTTCAAAGGGGAAAAAACTCTAGACTTTTTCAATTTTTTTCAAGAACTGTTCCTAAAGAGAATGCTTATTAATCTCAGATGATGTGATCTACTCCTGGGTCCCTTTAATTATAAAAAATTTTCCCCAATGCAAACTGAAAGTGATAACTCCATGTGCCAACTTCAAATAAACCAAGCTATAAAACAGCTCCAAAAGGACAATTCATGGACATGAAGGCCGTAAGGCAATTTGCAAAAACATCACATGCGCTTGTTTTATATGAATGTCTATACAGTATTAAAATGAAACTGAAAGGGAAGGAATTCACTGTACAGAAGACAAAACAATACCCTTTTTATTTTTAAAACTCTGGTGAAATAGGTTTCCATATGACATCCCATTTTTAAAAATTAATGTAAACCAACCTGCCTGTGGGTTAGTCACACTGTAGAGACTTCACCTTAGTGTGTACAGATACCTAGAATATTTACAAATATTGTCTGTTAGGTAGTAAAGTTTTGTTGCAATTTTTCCAGCACATATTCCACAGTAAAATAAAGGGGGGGATATTGGTGTTCTTGTATAAGAATTCTTAACAAATGAATAAAGGCAATTTTCCTGAGAGAAGATTTGTTCTTGAAATATTTTTCTTTAACAATTGGGAATATAGAAATGGGATGTAGTTGTAAAAGAAGCATAAGAATGTCTAAGTTAACATTTTTCTTTTAAATTATTTAAGTACCATTAAGTTAAAATGTTTACATTCATTATAAAAAATGTTGTTAAATCTTATGCAAATGATTTAACACTGATTGCTGCAACGCAAATTGCACTTTTTAAAAAAATTATTGTATACATGGAAGAAAAATATCTTGTTTGCTACCCTGTTTACAAATTCCAACTGACTTCAGGTCAGTCACACAATATGAACTTTGAGAAACGCCAGTCACAGTGTATGTTACAGTTATAATGCAGTCCTGCAAACTGAGCAATATTTTTGACAAGTGACCTCATGAACCGACTCAGCCTCCAGAGGTGTGTACCAAATGGCCTCAAATGGTCTTCTCCGTGAACGCAGGTGAAATCTGGGTGTGGAAAGGTATTAAGAAATCAGAAGAAGCACATGATTTGGGGCAATACACATAAAACCTTTCTTTTAAAATCTCAATATTCCTTAGCAGGCAAGGCCCCAGGCCTAGTCCAGGTTTCTGGAAGTGGCACAGCGGGTGCCCTGGCAGACCCAGAGGCAGGCTGGTTGGAAGTGGCCGCAGCCAGGGAGGAGGCAGCGTGCTGTGGGCTGCACCGGCCTTCCCAGGAAGCGCTCCATCTTCTCCCTGGCTCTTCATTGACAGGGGCTGGCTGGTAAGGCAGAACAAGCCTCTTGGGAAATGCATCTCTTTCAAAATAAAGGCACGGAAATCACACATCAGAGGAATGTTCTGTCGGCATACTCGCCCCAGTTTGCACAGTGTGGCATAATCACCACAGGTCCCGAGGGCCTCCCCGCTCCAGCAGCGGCAGCAGGCTCAGGCCAGGGCAAGTGCACACCACGAATCCTGTCTCACCGAGGAGGACGTGACTTCGGCCGGTGAGGCCAGGCTGACGCCTATGTACAGCCCATCTTGACCTGAGTACTTGAGCTCGCTGTTCTCGGGGTTAGTGCTTTCTCCTGTGCCAGGCATCACCGGGGCACCCGCCTGGCAGAAGAAGGGGACAGAGAGGAGGAGAGAGTTATATCCATAAATTTGTTAGGTGTCATGCTCCTACTAGGTCAACACATGGGGACAAGTGAGATGGGCAGTGCAGCCTGGCCAGGGCAGTTCACTGTGCTGCCCAGTGCCATGACCTCGCCCTGGAGATTTTAGCTCTCACAAACATTCCCCTGTTATCTTGAGGACGCATGGCAATAACCACACAGCAACATGTTCAGCTGGACAAAAGTAGAAAAGGAACTGGAAGAAGAAACCTATTTGTAAAAAGTGCCACACAATCTAATCATTTCAAGAGAAAATGCAGAGCATCGAACACACACACACACACACACACACACACAGCAGAGCCATAAGGTTTAGTAGTTATGTCAAAGCCTAAAAGAGAAAGCTACACAGTTCAGCAAGGCCTGATAAATGAAATTTTTGAGCACTGACTTCATGGAAAATTAACCTATGCATATACAGATTTAATATCTAACTCATTTACCTTAATTCTTTCCAAGAAGAATGGGCTATGTTTGAAGCAGACCACACTATAACCAGAATGGAAACACCCTTTATCTGTCATGATTGTGGCAATTATTTCTCAAAGCAAAAGGTGACCTTTACATTGTTTCATTCATTCCTTCTATCCACAAGAGAAAGGCCATATAGAAAACATACAATTTATGTGATATAATTTAGTAGAATAAAACTAAAATAACTAAAATCATGTTTAGACTATGGCTTGAGAAAGCAGTGCATTTGGTTGTTTTTTGTTTAAATCCAGCCATGCCCTAGCTGGTTTGACTCAATGGATAGAGTGTCAGCCTGAGGACTGAAGGGTCCCAGGTTCGATTCCAGTCAAGGGCACATGCCTATGTTGTGGGCTTGATCCCCAATAGGGGGCATGCAGGAGGCAGCCATTCAATGATTCTCTCATCACTGATGTTTCAATCTCTCCCTCTCCCTTTGTCTCTGAAGTCAATAATAATATATTTTTTAAAATCCAGGCATAATCACATAAACCCATTATTTCTTCTGTGCTTTCAGGATTCTACCCCATAAATTACTAGATACTTGTTTTTTGACACAGGTAGAATGTTTTATACTTCTCAAAGCATTCATTTACATACACAATCCCATTAAATCCTTAAAACATGTGTCTGGCTGAATTGATGTTACATTCACTTCCGAGAAACACAGGGCACCAAGATACCAGGCTGAACTGATTGGAAGGTGCATGGAGTCCCCTTGGTTCCTGGGGCCTGGAAGTAAATGTGGTCCTACACTTCCCCAGATAAAATCTGGTTTTCTCTCTAATCCTCACAATAACCGCATGATGCTAGGATGTAAGGTTTTAGGAGATCTAACCATATGACTTCCTGTTTTCCCATCCCAACTTCTTATTAATTGGACAGACCAAAGCCAGCCCCTCTATAGGTATCCTTTCTTTTCCTAGCCAACATGAGTGTATGTTAAAATCCAGCAACAACAGTACCCCCACACCCTTACCTCTTTTTAAGTAACACAAACTTAAAGACTTAAACTGAGGGTTTTAGGTGCATAAAAAAGCAAATTTCAAAAAGTCATTGACATGCCTAAAATTTAAAATAGATTCTTATGAAATAGCTGAAACAATCCTGTCAACACACTAAAGCTATGGATTTGGTTGCAGATAGAAATATGGTGATTAACTTCAGCCCTTAAATCCAGAACCTCCACAATTAGCAAAGCCAACGTGGATCCAGACTTAACTCCCAGAGCAATAAACAAAAGGGTGGTATTAAATTACAAAAGGACTCTTCATTTTAGAGTCTTCAATAGCTATCATTCAACTAGTAGAAAGAGTAACCTCCTTTATAAATGACTTATGCCACACTCAACCTTGTGTTGATTGATTTATTCCCCCAAAATAAGCACATGTGCATTTATCTGACTAACCCTGACTTCAGCAGAGCCAGTGCTATTCTCTGAAATGAAGAGGGTGCCTGGATTGGCCCAGGAAACAGTCCACCTCAAATAACCAGACGTGCTGAGATAGCAGAGCAGTCTGTCGTCACCACAAGTCAGTAACAAGGAACAGTAGCAAGGTACCCATGCGAGTCAGGCACTGAGACTGTGAGCCCCAAAGAGATAGTTACTCCCTGGACCAGCTCCCAGGCCACATGAGGAGCCAGGACACTCACACACTCGACAGTAAGACTGCTCAACAGCCTATCGTAAATGATAAATGAGTGGCTGAGACAGGGAGGTGCGGTAAGAGGTCATAAAAGGAACCAAAGAGGGGGAAGGATTCCTGGAGAAGAGCCACAGCAGCCTGCACTGGGGGGACAAGCGTGGGCTTTCAAGTACTGTCCTGATTCTGCCACCCACTGAGTGTGGTCACCTCCCTGAGCCTCCTCCTCAACCTGCCCTTGCCTCACCTACCCCAAGTCTGGTTGTGACAATTCACCGAGATGTTTGTAAAAGCATCAGCATGATGCCTTGCCATGAGTTAAAACATTCCATTAAAAGAAAGGGTGCTCAGGTGGGAGGTATGCAGGACATGGGGAGACCTGTTCACAGGAAAACCAGCTAAAACAGAAGTGTTAAGCAAAGGAGTTAAGAGAAAATGTGGGAGAGATAAACTAGAAGACCTAAACTAGCACTTTCTGTACCTTGGTTTCCTTACTAGAAAATGAAAATAAAGAAGCACCTATGTGTAAGGTTGTTGCAAGAATTAAATCAGCTAATAAACTGTACGTAGGTATATGCTATTATTAGTATTTTACTATTGTTAAGGATAAGGAGTATAGACCTAATTTAATCTTCCAATTCCATCCTTCACCAGGTGAGTTAGCACCATCACTGGGTGGGAGCAGTGGAACTCATCTAGAGCTAAGGGAAACCACCCATTCAACAACGACTTATTCTAATTGTTATTGACAACACTTCGCAAAAAAATAAAAAGTGCTTCCACAGCCCTTCAAAAGGCTCATTGTCCCTTTTTCAAATAAGCCACATTAAAGAAATCTTAATACCTTGATTATTATTCTTATACCTGAGCAATAATCCCAAAAGCTACCAGTTGTGAAATACCCATTGTCTTCTTAGTTCAGACAAAAATGTTAAGCTATATAGCAGGCCAAGAGTCCTACTGTCAAAGGGCAGGCAAACTCAAAATTACATGAGTGAAGAGTTTCTTAAAAAAATATATCAGCTCTAGGGGGTTAATATCTGAAATGTATAAAGAACTTACACAACCCAACACCAAAAAAGCAAACAATCCAATTAAAAATTGGGCAAGGAACCTGAAAAAAAACATACAGAAGGCCAACAGACATGAAAAGATGCTCAAGGTCACTAATCATCAGATAAGTGCAAACTAAAACCACAGTGAGATGTCATCTCACACCTGTCAGAATGGCTATCATCAACAAATCAAGAAACAAGTGTTGGCATGGATGCGGAGAAAAGGGAACACACTGTTGGTAGGAATGCAGATGGGTGCAGCCACTGTGGAAAGCAGTATGGAGTTACCTCAAAAAATTAAAAATGGGAGTGCCTTATAACACAGGGATTCCCTTCTTGGAATATATCCAAAGATATCTGAAACACTAATTCGAAAGAATATATGCACCCCTATATTTACTGCAACTTTATTACAGTAGCCAAGATTTGGAAGCAACCCAAGTGCCTATCAGTAGATGAATAGATTAAAAAAAAAGTTGTGGTACATTTACACAATGGAATACTATATGGCCACAAAAAAGAAGGAAATCTTACCCTTTGCAACAACATGGATGGACCTGAAGAACATTATGCTAAGTGAAATAAGCCAGTCAGAGAAAGACAAATACTATATGATTTCACTTATATGTGGAATCTAGTGAACAAAACACACTAACAAACAAAATAGAGAACAGACTGACAGCTGTCTGGGGCGGGAGGAAGCTGGGTTGAAAAAAGTGAATGGATTAAGCAAAACAAAAACTCATAGATACAGACAACAGTATGGTGATTACCAGAGGGAAAGGGGGTTGGGGGAGAGAGAAGATGGTAAATGGGGGATAAATGTTTATGGAAGGAGACTTGACTTGGGGTGGTGAACACACAATACGATATACAGAGGATGTATTATAGAATTATATGATGTATTATAGAATTGTACATCTGAAACCTATAATTATATTAACCAATGTCACCCAAATAAATTCAATACTTTTTTTAAAAATCAGCTCATTTGAAATCAAAAGGAACATTAGGGTCTCTCAGATAAAAAGTAGAGCAAGTACTTGTGCCCAAAGCTTGAGAATCATATTTGTATATGGACATACACTATTTAAACATGAAATACTATAATGTAAAACTTTTATATGTCAATCATATCTCAATAAAATATAAATTGTGATTTTTATGTAAGATACATAAAATCATAATGATGAGATCTGATTACATTGTGATAGCCCCAGTACGCTTATCCATGGCCAGTGGGGCTATATTCTGGTACATGCCTGAGAAAGTAGTTAGCAGAGATATCAAGAACTCTATACCCTACTTAGCTCTGTAATTTCATTTTGGAAAATGAAATTACAGGGCTATTATAATGAAAGAATTCAAAAGAAGGGAAAGGCTCCACACAGGAAGACATTCATTGCAAGTTTACTTATAATAGTGGAAACCATGGAAATAATCTAATGTCTAATAATATGGGAATGGTTTGGAAAAGCAGAGTGCATCCGCTCAATGAACTATTATGCAATTATCAAAAATAAAAAGATCATGTAGCAAAATGGGGGGAAAAATCCCCTAATGTAATGTTAGGTGAAAAACAGCAAGATATAAAAATTCTATGTCATAATTACAACTTGTCCGTACACACGCAAAGGAAACCCAGAAGAGCATGGGGGCCAGGGGACCATTTAAGAGGGCCCAACCTATGAGCCATCTATGCCTGTCTTTGAATATTTTCATTTGAATGGCATAGTACAGCCTAACTTTGTGGTAAGAGTAGAAGGTACTAG